ACTAATTTACAAGGAAATGTGAAGCAACTAGAGAAGAGAATTTACAATCAGTTAGGCAAGTTAAGGTTCAAGGTTCATTTATTTCACACTATTTACATAAAATTAACATAGATATAAAAAAGCTTAATTGCAACAAATGATTACAGAATAAGATAAAGTACAGATTATAAAAATGTGTGAAGGCTTTCTAGTTGGCCACCACCTACTTTTAGATAAACAAAGAAATGGCACTGACTTTTATTGGTATATAGTGAAAAAGGTGGAAAGTCTTTGTAGAGCCTAGGATGGATGTGCAAGAGAGAATTATGTGTATATAATGTAAGGTATGTTAGAGATATACTGAACCAAGTAAGAAATCTCTTCAGGACAAGCTTAATAAGAAAAAAACAGACACATACAGACAGACAGACAAACAAACAACAGCGACAATGAACAAAAGCTCAAACAGAGACAAAGGGGAGGAAAAGAGCAACACATCACCAGCAACAACAGCAGCAGCAGTGGCAACAAAGACTGAAATATAAGTGGACAATTATTATTATTATTATTATTATTATTATTATTATTATTATTAACTCTGTTATTATCATAGTTATTTACATATGGGTAGTTACATACTATATATTTGATCATTAGACAGATCATATATTACTTGATTGACAAAAGATTGAGTGGGCCATATAAAGTTTCTTAAACCTTTTAAATATTTTTTTCAATGCCAAGGAGACAGTTTTCCATATAACAGAAGCAGAGTACTTAAAAGTAAATTTGCCTATGTTAGTTCTGACTTGTGGTCGGTGGAAATGAAGCTTTGGTGCTATAGGAGTGGACAGCTGTTATAGGACAGTATTAAAAAATTATGGAAAATTGCTGGAACAGTTGTTGGATTGTTATATAATTAAGATAAGAGTAAGTAAGTGCATAATACAGTTGTCTTAGCATCTTTAAATTTAAGTAATTTCACAGTTGGTAGAAGATTCCAAGGTTTTCACTCAGTTTGCTTTGTACATGTGCTATTTGAGTTTTCCAATTCAAATGCTCATCTAAATAAATGCCTAAATATTTGATACTAGCTTTGCGATCACTGTTTGAAATATTAATATTTTGTATAGTTGGCTTCTGTGGAGATGTTATTACCATAAAATTTCTTTTCTTCATGTTAATAGACAGTTTATTGAGGTTAGAGTATTTAATTACTCTCTGAAGTTCTAAGTTCATAGCTGCCTCAAGATTTTTTGATTTTTTTTTTTACAAGTACAATGCCAGTTAGGTACTTCTGGCCTGGATTGGTGTGACTTTTTCTGTTACATCAATGATGATTTGTTTTTTTGCCAAAGAACAGTATTTGATCCTATTTTTTCCCAAGAATGTAAAGATAAGGTTGACATGTTTTATTTTAACTATTTTTTGTGAGAACACTTACATCACTGTAATATGTATAATGATAACACCCTGTGGCACCTGCTAAGACAGATTATTTTTCAAAATTAATGGTCCCTGAAAATTTACAAGCAAACATGCCACTGTCCACATCTGATTAACAGTGCCCAAAAGTGACAAAGGAATTTCATTGTCGAAAAGATGATATTCTTTAATTCGGCGTATGGCCCTCTCCACATGAATCCGGATTTTGGCTATGGTTTTTGTTTCTTTGACTTCCTCTGGTGAAAACTGTGCACGATTTAAAAGATATGGTGGAAGGTTTAGCTTTACCCCTTTACTACATAATAGATCATCAATATTAAAACCCTTATCAGCCATCACACTTTTATTAGGCTCCAAAAGATCTAAAATTCCACAACACTCTGTGATCTCTTTATCTGAAATAGAACCAGTATAT